GTGAGTGTGTGTGTGTATGAGTGTGTGTGTGTGTGTGAATGGTGTGAGTGTGTGTGTGTATGAGTGTGTGTGTGTGTGTGTGAATGGTGTGAGTGTGTGTGTGTATGAGTGTGTGTGTGTGTGTGTGAATGGTGTGTGTGTGAATGGTGTGTGAGTATGAGTGTGTGTGTGTGAATGGTGTGTGTGTGTGTGTGAATGGTGTGTGAGTGTGTGTGTGAATGGTGTGTGTGTGTGTGTGTGAGTGAGTGAATGAGGTGTGTGTGTGTGTGTGTGTGTGCCCCGTCATGGGCTGGCATCCCAACCTATAGAATAAACTGTTACAGAAAATGGGTGGTTGGATGGAACTTAGATACAAGGATACTGCTTCTCCTGAAACTCAGTGCAAGAAGTCAGAACATGATTAAAATAATATGAAACTAACAAGTTCAGGCAACCTTCTGAAAGTCTGTAAAATCGTGCAGTGGTGTTAAAGGCCAGATTCTATGGTAAATTTGACCTTACAGTTAAGCCAAGATTTGCATCTCCAAAATAACATGATACTTGGAAATTCTGCATCGCTTTTTTTTGTTCTGTTCTCATTATCATGTGTGGGTTCCTGGTTCAGTGGGAGGCATGACTGCAGGCATTTGTTGATTTATTACCATTTAATATTAAAATTGCTAATCATTAACATAAATGATTTAATGGTTAGATATATGCTCAGCTAGGGTGTGTTTAAACATTTAATGGACAGCAATAATTCTTAAAATATTTATTCAAGTAAAGAAAATCTCTGCTTTGAATAATCTGAATGCACATCAGGCCAGGACGAAATCACACTTGGGCTAACTAATGACTGTTGTGGCTTTCTGCAGTTGTTGCATTACTCTGCACACTTTACTAGACCTAAACGCATTAATATGCAATTCCATAGATGATGAATGTGCCAAATAATATTATAATCTTAATCACAAATTCATGTGTAAGCAAAAAACCTGAAAGATCTGTGGCACATGAAATTATTTTCTACATTTTTATCCCCTTTGCAGTCTATTCTACATTTTGTTTACTTTTTAATTAAGAGCTAAACAATGATCGCTCCAGAAGTCACCCGAAGAATGATTTATTTACTTGCAGTACTTCTGGTAAGGATTTACCCTATTGTATTGTCAAGGATTCATCCTTGTAACAGTGAAACAACAGTTTAGTACGCTGCCAGTCAAAAGCTTTCGCACACACAGATTTTCTACATTTGCATGTTACTCACTTAACATTTACTAAAATACAATCAATATTCTTTGCTAACAAATACATTTACAGTATGTTCACCATTTGAGTACCTTTATTAGCAAGAAAATGTTGTATCTTTGATTCATCAAAGTAACCTCCTCTAGCAGTTATAACAGCAGAGAAAATTCGAGGCATTCTTCCTACAAGTGACATTAAATACTGCTCTGTCTCATGGGATGAAACAGGTAACTAGTGCATTTAAAGTTAAAAGACGGCCTAGAATCTGCCATCACCACACAACCAGTTAATAGGACATCAGACATGCAGTGTTACAAACTCTTTCCATGTTATAAAGGAAACTTGTTTTATTTGACTTATATTTCCATCGTTTTTACTCAACTTTCCATAGCTAAACAAGAATAAAGAATCTGTGGTTTATGAAATATATGAAAAAGTAAAAACCTGTGGCATGCAAAAACTTCTGACTGGTAGTGTACATCAAAAAGGACCCGATTAAACCCTTACAAGAATAAGAAAAAAGTAAAATAAACAATGTCGTTGAATGCAGAAATTTTTTATTGTAAAATTCCACAACTGTATGCAGTTCCTTTATGAAAAGGGTATCCTGTCGTACATACAGTGAACACCTGAACTAGTATTTATAGGGATCTCTGTACGACACCCAAGCTTGGAGACACACCATGTGAATAATTATCCAGATCAGTCATCTTCCAGTTGTTGGTGATCATTTACTGAGCCCAAGTGTGACAAACTGTATTACTGTCTGATGTCAGAAAATATAACTATTATTTACATGCGATCCACATGTAGGGTCCATTTCAAAATAAAAGCCTTTTTGTGCCCTAACCTTTTCATGATCCTTGAGCATTTGATGTAGATGTAGATGATCTGTCTACATGTCTGACACCTAAATGTAGTGTATAAATAATTCACATTTTCCCTGTAGAAATATTTTATGCCTTTCCCTTATCTGTATTGATTTTTATGACATAAGCCAAAGGACCGAATTTATATGTAGTAAGTCTGATATTTTAAATTTCTGCAATTTAAATTCCAAAATATTTTGAATTTTGGCATTTAAAGAAGGTATTGTAATATTCAAGCATTATTCAAAAGGGAATTTATCGAAAAGTGGTACAAAACTAGTTTAACATTTTGGAAGAAATCCACTTAAAACATTAATGCTAATTATTATTCACGAGTTTTAAAACAATGTCTTGCATTTTATCAGTTATTACATTTGTCAGTCAAAAAATGCTAGCTTAGCTTATTTTGACGAATAAATGCATTTAACTTTAAAAAGAGATGTAATTTCATAGTGTTTTAATTGCATAAGCAAATATTAATATCAAATTGCATTTGAGTTTGGCACTTTAATATCTTTGTTATACATTTACATTCCCCTACATTTAGCGTTAAAAACAACAATGGCTGAAATATATCATGTGTTCCTTCTGTTTGATATGAAAACACATATTCACTTCAGACAAAACAACTTGTGTACAAAGACAAAGCTGGGCGATTTGAACGCAACGCCTAATACAGCCGTGGATTAACATGGTAAGAAGTGAGGTGAAATGGAGACCAAAAGGAAAAACTTGGTCTATTGCAAGCGATGGGAGAGTATGACATCGGAATTATATACAAACTCCACTCGAATACGTCTCCCATTGGTTCCTAAAGCTGCTATTACCACTCATTCTCAATATTTTCTCAAAAAAAAAAACAAAAAACAAAGTGACATTGTGTCAGAAAGGGCTCCGTGCTTGAAAAAGCACACAGTAGCCGTCGTCAAAACAAAGAAATACAGTAACATTGACAAACAGTACAACGTAACAGGATCACTTCACTCATACTGCAAGTCAAAACCTCGTCGATATGAAAGTTGAGTTTCAAATTTAGTAATAGGGGATATAAAATGTAATGAAACATAATCTTAACTGCATGTTGTGATTGGCCTGTTCGATTCTTGATTGAATTCCTTATACAGAATAACATTCTCAAGAATTACATGAACATGACACATACAAATACACACAGATTTACACCAGAAACCTGGTTGCTTCAAAGAGTGTACCATGCCAAACTGGTAAGAGTAAGATAGTTTGATCGATTTTGTTTGGTCATTCCCATGCTGCATGAACTACACAATGAAGCGATATAACAACATATTTAAAGCTATACTGATGAAAGCAATAAAAAAAATTAAAAGCAAAACAAAAAAAATTGTCACAGACTGTCCATTTTTTCCTCCAGCCTAGCCAATCTTATTTTTTCTTTTTCTTTTTTTTTTTTTTATCATTTACCACAGTTTTCTCCTCAGTGGGAATACAGGTTAATTGCCTATATACCTTATGCTGTTTGTCTTTTAATTGGGGGCATATATATGTAAACAAACAATGGAAACACATCCAGTTGAACAAAACTGAACAAAAAAAAAATTGCATTAGCTGTCTGTCAGAAGTGGGTTGGCTGTTTCAGGAAGGTGAACCTGCTAACCAGTTTTGTGCTGAATAATTCCACCTGTCCATTGTTCCTTGTAACAAGTACAAACAGATAACCCCGCCACCCCATGAAACCTGAAAGAAGTGACAATCCGCACAAGATTGCAGACTTGTTCCATGTCCCCCTGACAAACATTTATGCCTTTTCCTTCTCCATTTCATTCCTCTGCAAAAAGGGCCACTTCCTGTTTTCCCCGAGTAAACACCATGAGCTCAACACCAAGACCGTACTTATGATCCTGGCAAGACCGGTCTTGCTAACTCGGTTTCCAAGAACGAACTTGGGGCGCAATGAATCATGGGACTGGTGTCATTTGGCGAGAATGCCACACATGTATCCTTGATATTTGTGGCGAGGCAAGAACGACATCTGGGGAATTTTATCGTCTTGCTCTTAGTATTGGAACTGGTCTTCGGGCAAAGGAAGATGACGGGTACACGAGAACAAAGTATGGTCAAATAAGCAGATTCAGATCCTTCCCACGTTTCCTGTTTTTATATGGTGGTCCGGTCCACCATCACTGTCACTAACCAATAGCAGTTTGGTATGTTTTATCACCAACCAATAGCAGTTTGGTATGTTTTATCACCAACCAATAGCAGTTCTGTATCTTTCCTTTAACAGCATCTTTGGTCACGCTGGCATTCCTCTCTTTTATTACACATCTCCGTCATTATGCGTCGCATTGCTTTTCAACCTTGTTTTTTTAATTTAAATGGTGCACTTATGATTACACTCTCAGGGAAATATTTATGTCGCGTAACTGTCCGTTTATTCAGGGCTGCTCGGTAATAATGGAAAATGACATAAAAAAAAAAAAAATCGTGTGTGATGACAAAACTGGTTTAAGTATTGATAGAAAATAAAGTATATATCAAAGACATTATTAAATACTACAATTTCCCTACCTGTAGGATCGTTTACAGTTTCATTTCAATACCAACCATCCTTTATAAAGGACTGAAGTATTTATGGTAAAATAAAATAGTGCTCTTGCATTCTAGAATAACGAAAAAGAAAGAATACTATTAATGCATCAAAGGCAATTGGTTTCAAGTTTATGGGAAACTTAATGTTTCTTCTCTGATGCTTTTCAGTAAAATGTTCTACTTATGTTTCTTGTGCAACGTTTCCTCTTGTTTCCACAGACGTCGGTAGAAGACCTTGATAAGTTAGTTTGTTTTTGGCCTCATAGATGCATGCGTTAAACAAACCACTACAACATATTCAATATTAAAATATATACAGTTTGTATACAGTTGACTGTAGACCTGATGATTCATTAAAAAAAGGATTCCTCTTTCTTACACACCTTTGACTGAGAAGTCTAACCGTTAGTTAATAATCAGTGTTTATTAATCTATGCTGCTTAAGTTCTTTTTTAAGTCGTGCCTAATTTGCATTCTGTATTCATGACATTTTGACAAAACATATGACCATAACCCTCACTGAGAGAGGCAACATAAAGGTGGATGGATGGATAAATTAACAAATGCGATGAAAGGTAAAAAGCAGATTTTCAGAATAATTAAAAAAAAAAAATTGTCAATTTATGGTAGAATTTTACAATTTGGAAATTAAAATCTAAATTTGAATGTGATTGGAGGGATAAAAAAAAAAACAAAGAAGTGCATAAATAGCCAAAACGCCCCCCAACAGCAAAGTTTCTTCAGACAGCAGCTGAAGCTATCCTGCAGAATGATGGTCACACGAGATGACACCCCCCATCTGCATTGCTACCTTGCTAACTCATCTGACTAAACAGAGCCATGGCAACAATGAAACTGTGGAGATATTATGTAACGTTCGATTGGGAAGGAAAAAAAACAGGAAAAATCTCTCTGCATTTCAAGGCATCGAGTGATATCATCCCTCGCTCTTCCGTCTAGTTTTGCTACAACTTTCTCTCGAATCAGATGCTTCATTTTTTAAAACAACCGCAAACATGTGTCAATAACAAACACGTAAACCAAAATGGAAACGGACTGCGAAGCGTTCATGTTTGATTTTTAAGGAGCGCGGAAACGTACGGTCTTTTCGGTATATGTTAAGGCCAGCTACGTGCGCGAGACTTAGAGATAGAGATAGGACACCCAGTAGACGAGGTTGAAGAGGCCAAAGGCGGTGGGGAAAAAGATGCGAGCGTACGAGTCTAATTTGCCGATGCGGATGTGCAATCGGCCGTGCCTCCAGGCGCCCGAGCGACAGTCCTCAAAGCAGCAGAAGAAGCTGGTGCAGTCCTTGCCGTCGAGGCACTCGTAGCCGTACTCCTCATCGCGCTCTTGCACGTGAGCTGCGTTGTTCATCTGGATGGCCGTGGCGGACCGAGGGCGGATGTCTACCGTGGGGGTCTGCGTTTTTGCCGGGGAGAGAGCACAGAGTCAGCGGCCAATGTCTGGGAAGCACTGGGAGGGTGGGGGAGGGACTTAGGGGGGCTGGTTAGTATTCTCACATTCTTTGCAAGATTATCGCACCTTTTCTTGCCAGTGAGTAAAACAAAACAAAGTAAAACTAAAATATGCCCAAGCAAATCCAAGTCGAGCACCTAGCAGCTTGCAAACGGATTGTTCACTTTCAAACAAAGGATGCAAGTTTCCCCTTCGGGAAAAGCCCACGATGAATTTGACAGATTTATCTATATTTGTTATTATATCGTTATTTAGCTAGTAAATCATGCTAGTGCTGGGAAAGTCGTCATGATTTCATTACAATATTTACAACATAAGGTGTTGTAAAGATGAGACACAAACTGGGTATTTATTTCCGCACTGGATTCTTTCCTTTGTGTCTGAATAATGTGCAGTTTTTCATGGAAGACAGCAAAGCTCAACTTTTTTCCAGCTTCATTTTCTGTCTTTTGTTTGTGACCAAGGTCACAAAAATGTGTTTAATCAGATTTAGATTTATTTATGTGACATTCAAATATAAAAAATTTCAGCTTAATTATGCACTCTGGATACAACGTTGGTATGAAAACTAAGTCTGATCAATGAGAATACTCGTGTTCACTTGAGATTTCAGACAAAAGGACTGATATTCTTCATCAAATTGGAATACACAGCACTAATTGTTGCTTAGTTCTGGAACTGTTGAAAGTCTCAAATTGATTCAGAGGATTATACTGCATCCTGCTGACAAATACTGTAAACATTGCCTGTTTATTTTTTTAAACGCTCCTCCTACAGAGCATGATCATTCTTCTGATGTTTAGATTTTGTTACCAGAAAAAAATTCAAAAGTAGGAAATTATTAGTGGTCAGTCCCAGCCATAGAATTTTCCTTGATCTGTTGAGCAGAGAACCCAATGCCCATTACCCCGTCCTCTGTTTTCCCAGCACTAGTACACAGAGACATCCTGGATCCCTTTGCAAACTTAACGTGGTATCCCGGCCTAATTGGCTGTCAGAGGGATGAGGGATCCAGAGTCCCTGCCTGATTGGCTGCCCACCGCAGGGGGGGCTGTCGACGTGGGACAGTTCTCAAAGGGTCGTGCGGGAAGCAGGTGGAAGCCAAAGCATAGGACAGCACACACACCGGCCGCGAGTAGCAGGGCTGGGAATCAGATGGCAGTGACCCCTTTCACTGGGAGGGGCCGGCGGGGACTGGGAAAGGGCCATTACCGATGGCCACTAAATATCCTCCCTGGAAATGAGGTTCCTGTTTGAACTGACCCCAAGGTAGCATTTTCCATTTCAGATTTTTGATAACTAGATCATGCAAATCTTCAATGAAAAAAGCTCAAGTTGAACAATAAACAAAACATGCATCTTATTCAGCATTTAAATGTCCTGATAACTGGGTATTTACACCATGGTCTGGCTAATGCTGGCTTTTATGGATGCTGAACCTTAAATCTACCCCATGGTTACAGTTGGGGCTTTCCGTCTGACGGCGCGGAGTGGCGGGTGTCCATTTCAGCCAGTTATGGTGATATAGTAGGATAGGGCTGTGCCGGGATTTGTGACCCTGTAAACTGAACCGTTAGCATTCTAGAGGAGCAGTGGAATTAAAGGGGAAGTGACATGGCTGGCATTTAATTTAGACTCTTGTGGCACACAGAATGTGACAGCAGAATTTACTGAATGAGGATTCTGTGTATGGTATGACCCGTGTACACCGCCTCCTATATCTGTGTATGGTATAACCCATGTACACCGCCTCC